TACGGTGGCGGCATTTGCCTTGTTTGTTGGTCTCCCTAAAGTCTTTGCTGCTGCTACTGCTGCTGTTACTGCTGCTGCTACTGTTACTGCTGCTGCTGCTGCTACTGCTGCTGCTGCTACTGCTGCTGCTCTGCCGACTCTCAGTTCGCCTGTCTTCTAATTGATATCTCTTAGTTCTGTTTGCTGCTGGCACCGCCAGGCACGCTGCAGCTGTGCTGCAGCAGCAGCAGCAGCAGCAGCAGCAGCTACAGCCTTGTGTAGCTGGTTGCGTTTGCGGCTGTTTGCTGCTCGCCGGAATAATCATCTACTAAATAAACAGCAGAAAGGGTTTTGCCCTGGATCCACACCTGCTGCAATCGCCTTGCTGCTGCTGCTGCGGGTGCTGCTGCTGCTGCTGCAGGGTCCAAGAACCTGCACATACACCCCGCACAGCAGCAGCAAAGTGCTCCTCAAACTCAGCAGCAGCAGCAGCAAACAACACCGCTTCCTGCTGCTGCTGTGCCTGCTACTGCTCCAGCTGCATCCCCTGCTGCTGCTGCTGCTGCTGCTGCTGCTGCTGTACCTGCACCATAGAATGGCAGCAACTTGGCAGCCTATATAAGGAGCAGCAGAAAAGATAACAAAAAAACTAAACCAGGACTCGGCGTCGCTCCACAAGGATTCTGCTGCTGCTGCTGCTGCCGTTGTAGCTGCTGCTGCGCTGCCTGGCGTCGCTGCGGAGTCCCCTGCTGCAGCTCCTGCTGCTGCTGCTGTTGCTGCTGCTGCTGCTGCATTGCGGTCCAGCCGCGACAGCCACGCTGCTGTGTAAGCCACTGCAGGGTTTAGTGCAGCAGGAGAGGGCCGGTGAAGAGCAGCAAACAGCAGCAGCAGCAGCAGCAGAGCTGCGGCACGAAACCGCAGCAGGTTGCTGTTGCTGCTGCTGCTGCTGTGCCGCGGGCTTCCGCAGCCCAATCCCCGCTCCGCGCAGTCCACTGCTTCCTCCTCTCCTGCTGCTGCTGCTGCTGTTCCCGCTGCTGCTGCTGCTGTTCCTGCTGCTGCTGCTGCAGCAGCAGCAGCAGTTAGGGGCCTGTCTTCTCCTTCTCTGGCTTTTTCTCTTTTTCTTAAGGAAATAAGCCCGCGGATGCTGAAGCAAACTAATGCCTAGCAGCAGACACAGCAGCAGCAGCAGCAGCAAATAAACCCTAAACCATAAACCCTAGGGTTTAGGGTTTATTGTGCTAAGCAATAGTGCAGCAGACCCACCAGCAGCGCAGCAAGAGTTGCTTCTGCTACTGCAGCACCGACGAACTCCGGCTGCTGCTGCTGCAGCAGCGGGAAGGCAGCAGCAAAGTCGCCGCGGGCTCCCCACGCGCCCCACGCTGCTGCTGCTGCTGCTGCTGCTGCTGCGTACTGCAGCAGCAGCAGCAAATTCACAAACGACAAAGACCGCCGCTGCGGCCCCGTCAGCCAGTCAGCGTACAGCAGCGCAGGGGATAAATGCAATCCTGAAAAATAAATAAATAAATTAATTAAATTAATTAATCAATTAATTATAAATAAATAAATAAAATAATAAATAATAAAGTAGTGAAAGAAATAGAAAGAAAGGTCGGGAGGAAAAAGCGCGGCAAATGGTAACACCCAGCAGCAGCAGCAGCAGCAGCAGCCAATGCAGCAGCAGCAGCAGCACCTGCAGCAGCAGCAGCAAGGTAGAGCAGCAAGGGCAGCCTGCCGTAGAGCCCCAGGGGCTCCGTGAGTGTGAATTTGTGTTTGTGGGATTCTGCTGCTGCAGCAGCAGCAGCACAGAGAAAGAGAAACAGCGACAGCAAAAATGTTCCTGCTGCTTCTCCTGCTGCTGTCAGCTGCTGCTCCTCCAGCAGCCACAAGCCGCGGGCCTCAACCCTTGCTGCTGCTGCTGCTGCTGCTGGGGGCGATGCGGAGACCTCACTCAGGCACAGCGCACTCCCGTAGCTGCTGCTGCTGCTGCTGCTGCTGCTGCTGCTGCTGGGGGCGTTGCAGAGGCGACGCAGCAGCTTCTCTTCTATATTTAAGGCTGCGTTTCCCAGCAGCAGCAAAGATCGGACCACGCGGCGCAGCGCGCGCCATATTCGCTGCTGCTGCTGCTGCTGCTGCTGCTGCTGCTGCTGTTTGCTGCGCAGCGCTGCTGCTGCTTCTGCTGCTGCTGCTGCTGCGCCTGGGTCTCTCTCGAAACTTCTGTGCTGCAGCTGCAGTGCATGCACAGCCCCTCCAGGGGCCTGCTGCAGTTCGTGTCTATAGGCTGTAAAGTCTTCTGCTGCTGCTGCTGCTGCTGCAGGAGGTCCATCAGCAGCAGCTGCTGCAGCAGCGGGTGCAGCAACAGCATCTTCTGCTGCTGCCACAGGAGCGGCAGCAGCAGCAAACGGCTCCCAGTCTAAAAGGTCTTCATATGTCTCGTGAGAAGAGAAACAAGAGTCAGACAACGGCTGCAGCACAGCAGCAGCAGCAGCAGCAGAAGCTGCAGCAAAGTCTGGGGCCAGGGCAGCTTGCTGCATGCCGCTTTGCTGCTGCACGCCGTGCTGCTGCAGCATGCAACTTTGCTGCTGTTGCATGCAACTTTGCTGCTGCGAAAAAACATCAAATGGACTTTCTTGAATTTCAAAGTCGCAGCTGGAAAAAGAAAATGCTACTGCTGCTGCAGCTTCGGGTGTACGTACACCCGAAGCAGGCCACGGGCTTAGGGGGTCCGGCAAAGCCTCAGCGGTGGTCATAGTGGACCAGTGGTCCATGCTGCTGCTGCTGCTGCTGCAGTTGCTGCTGCTGCTGCGCTTGAGCTGCCCGCCCTCGCAGTCCGCAGCCAGCTCCCAGTACTCCCAGGAGTCCTCATCGGCAGCAGCAGCAGCTGCTGCTGCAGCAGCAGCAGGAGAGGACGCAGCGGAGGAGCTGCCTCTGCACTGGGAAGCTGCTGCAGCAGCAAGGGGAGCAGCAAAAGGGAAAGAAGAAAAGGACCTGCTGCAGGGGGCCCCCTGGGGGCCCCCCCGGGGGCTGGCGAGACGGCTGCTGCTGTGGGGGGTCCCTCCCTGCTGCTGTTCTGCAGCAGCAGCAGAACTGAAAAGCATTTTGAAGTCCAAAGGATTAAATTTGAATTTTAATTTGAATTTTAATTCTCCAAAGAAACTGCAAAGAGAGGCGAAGACGGGGGCGGGGGAGCCTCTCGGGGAGCTGTCAAGACACCTGAAAAGAACGGGAGCTGCAGCGGCGCCGCGGGGGCGTCTGGCGCTGCCGCACTAAATCATTTGGAATTAATTAAACAACTTTGAATTGTTTTTAAATAAATAAATTAAATCAATGAATAAATTGCTTTAGGCGGAGGACACGCGGCGAGGAGCGGTGAGTGCCGGAATCGAGGAGAGGGGAGCCCACGGGGGGCGCAAGCCTCGGCGGGAAACTGCGAAAAATAAACCGGGAAAAGAGTTTTAAATTGAATTTTTGAATTAAAAAGGGGAAATTAAATGCAAAAACGCGGAAAGTTTGGCGCCAGAGGCCTCTGGAAAGGCTGAAACCGACTTGTTCAAGTCCGTTGCCAACGGGCATGCAGGACAAGTCGCAGCCCCAAAAAAAGGCGAAAATTCAGAAAAAGAGGATCTGGAGGTGAAGAGAAATTAAATTGTTTTTAAATTTGCATTTCGATTTCCCTTTTCTTTTCTTCTTCCACTGCTGCTCGGGTTTTCGCCCGGCTGTGCGCACTGCAGGCACCAGGTGGAAAGTGCCGAAGCGCGCCTTTTCTGCGGCGTTCTTGCGCGAAAAAAGAAAATTTAAATCGAATTAATTTAAATTTCTGCAAACTAAATTAATTTGATTTCAAATTTCCCTTTTTAACTTCGCCGGAGCCTCGAAGTGAAGAAGTTTCTGTGCGGGAGTGGCGCGGTGTCCGGGTGTACGCGCATACACCTGAAGTTGCGGCGCGCGGCGGCTGCGCAGTTCGCCGGGAATCTGCGGATTAAAAGTATTTTTTTTTCAATTTATAACTCCAAAATGATAAATGATGTAGATATCCCCGAGGAGGCGCAGAAAAAACTCTCAAAATTCAGCTGCCTCCTCCACAATCTCGAAACCATGGAAATGCGAGTTGCTGCTCTCAAGAAAAAACTCAACACCCTCACCGACGCCAAAGAGGAGGCCGAGATTTCCCTCGCAGACGACGACCTCTGGTTCCGCGTTGGTCAGCTGCTGCTGCTGCTGCTGCTGCTGCTGCTGGTGTTGCTGCTGCTGCCGTTGTGCTGCGGGTGCTGCTGCGGCTGCAGCAGTCATGTGTGCAGCTCCGCTGCCAGTTGAGTTCGGGCTTACAGGCGATCAGCTGGGGAGCTGCTGCTGTTGCGACTATCCCCTCTGCTGCTGCTGCTGCTGCTGCTGCTGCTGCTGCTGCTTGTTGCACTTGAATGCATGCAAACCTGAGGTATGGTGGCTGCGTGGGAGTGTATTTGTTTATTTGCTGCTGTGTTTGTGGAGGAGCTCTTTCTTTTGCTGCTTGGCGGCTGGAGGCAGCAGCGGCAGCAGCAGGTGCTGCTGCTGCTGCTGCTGCTGCTGTTGCTGCTGCTGCTGCGAGACGGGCTAGTTTGCTGCTGCCGCTGTCAGCGGGCTCTCTCGCTAGCTGCTGCTGCTGCAGCAGCAGCAGCACTCCCGGCTGCATCTATGCTGCTGCTGCTGCAACAGGGCCTCTTTCGCTGCTGCTGCTGCTGCTGCATTTGCTGCTGCTGCTGCTGCTGCAGGAGAGTGTTACTTCTTGCGGGAAGCAGCGAGTGTTGAAGAGGCTTTGGAGGAAAACAAAAAAGAAATAAAAGAAGAAATGAAAAAGACAGAAGAGGAAATAAAAATAAAATCCGAAGAAGCAGAAAAACTCAAAAAGGAACTCTACGCACAACTCGGAGACAAAGTCCGACTCGAACGCTAAACCCTAAACCCTAAACCCTAAACCCTAAACCCTAATGGGAGAGAGGGGTGGTGGGGTGTTTTGGAAGGAGAAAACCCCTCAAGCTTTTGTTTTACTTTTACCTTTATTATTATTGTTTTATTATTCATTATTATTAGTTATTTGTTATTTATTATTATTCATTATTATTTATTATTATTTATTTATTATTATTTTACTACTTTATTATTTTAGTATTTGCTTCACTTTTCTGTGGGAGGGGGAGGGGTCCAAAGCAGCAGCAGCAGCAGCAGCAGCACCCCGGCTAAACCCTAAACCCTAAACCCTAAACCCTAAACTCTTAACCCTCGAAGAAGAGCAGCTACTTATGGAGACGCTTTGTGGCGGGCTGGGGAAAGACAGGCACTCGCACTTCAGCTGCAGCAGCAACAGCAGCAGCAGCACCAGCAGCAGCAGCTGCTGCAGAGGTAGCAGCTGCAGCACCAGCAGCAGCAGCAACAGCAACAGCAGCAAAAGCAGCTTCTTCGCTTCTTTTGACTCTGAGGGGCTTTTAAATAGCTCTTTTATATTACTCTGTCCCAAGAAGGAAACAAATTGAATAAAACAAATTAAATAAATTAAATTAAATTAACAAATCAAGTAAAATAAAACAAAACTTTCAGGTAAAGAAAAAAGTTTCAAACCTGCTGCTGCTGCTGCAGGAGAGCTTTTATTGCCTGCGGCCAGCCTGGCCATTAAACCTCGTTGTTACTTGTTCGTTTTTAATTAAATATTTATTTTTAAAAAAACTGAAATAAAAATAGAACTTTAATTGTATTTATTTCTTTGTTTGGAATTCAAATTCAACTTCTGCTGCAGTCTGTCGGCTGCTGCAGCGCATGTGAGGCTGCTGGGGGCTGCTGTGGGGCCCCGCGGGAGTTTTGGAGCTGCTGAAGCTTCTTCTGAAAGGCTTTTTAATTTAAATTAGTTTAATTCAAAAAAAATAAACAAAAAAGTCCTTGTGAGCTCGAAAAAAGGACTTTTGGAAGCTGCGGAGGCAGCAGCTTGGGGTGTCACTACACCTCCGTCGATGGCGGCGCCCCGGCGCTGCCGCCCTTCGCCATTTATTTTATTTTAATTTCCATTTCTTTTCACCTTCCCTGTTTTAAACTTTATTTCCCAACCAAGACCCACCACCTTCCTTCCCAAACCCTTCCAGAACCCCCAGCAGCAGCAGCAGCAGCGCAGCAGCAGCAGCAGCAGCGCAGCAGCAGCAGCGCAGCAGCAGCAGCGCAGCAGCAGCAGCAGGATCTCCAGCAGCAGCAGCCCCACCTCCACCAGCAGCGCCCCCAGCATCACCAGCATCATCACCACAAGCAGCAGCACCCCCCCTCCCTCAGCAGCAGCAGCAGCAGCAGCAGCAGCAGCAGCAGCAGCAGAAGATGGGTCGTTCGCAGCAGCGGAAGAAGAAGGGAAAGGAGCGTCTAGACCGCTACTACTACTTGGCCAAGGAGCAGGGCTTCCGGGCCCGAAGTGCCTTCAAGCTTATTCAGCTCGCCCAGAAATATGACCTCTTCAGCAACTGCAGGTAGCTGCAGCAGCAGCAGCAGCAGCAGCAGCAGCAGCAACAGCGGGGGGTAGGAGGGGTGCGGGTACGAGGGGGTGGGGGGGTATGGGTCGCTGCAGCAGCCGCAGCAGCAGAAGCAGTAGTAGTAGTAGTAGCAGCAGCAGCAGCAGCAGGGGTATTGGTAGCAGCAGGATGAGCGAAAGGGACTCGAGAGGGAAGAAGATAGAGGGGGATAGACCCTAATCTAGGGTTTAGGGTTTAGGGTTTAGGGTTTGATTCCTGCAGGGGCAGCATCGTATTGACTCTTGGCACATAGGATTATGTCCCCTGCTGCTGCTGCTGCTGCTGCCTTCTCATTCATGTCTGCTGCTGCTGCATCCGCTTCTGCTGCTGCTGCGCGGCATTCATTTCTGCTGCTGCTGCTGCTGCTGTGCATTCTGCGTGTTTCGACTGCCCTTCTCGCTGCCTCGTCCCCCCCTCACGGCCCCCGCCGCCGCTGCTGCTGCTGCTGCTGCTGCCGCTGCTGCTGCTGCTGCTGCTGCTGCTGCTGCAGGGTGGTGGTGGATCTGTGCGCAGCCCCGGGCTCGTGGCTGCAGGTCTGTTTGCGGGAGATGTCGCAGAAGAAAGGCGCGAGCTTGGGGCCGAAAAGAAGTTCAAATTTGGAGTCAAATTCGAATTTTAAATCCAAATTCAAGTTTAATTTTAATTCCAATTTTCACCCCATTCTCATCGGAGTCGACCTCGCCCCCATCGCCCCCCTCAAGAACTGCCTTTGCCTGAAGGCGGACATCACCACTGTGGACTGCCAGCGCCAGCTGAGGGCCGCGCTGCAGGTGCTGCTGCTTTTGTTTCTTTTTTGTTCTTTTTTGTTCTTTTTTGTTCTTTTTCTCCTTTTTTCTTCTTTTTCTTCTCCCCTTTCGAGGCCCCGACTGCGGCTTCCGGGGGCCCCAAACGCCGCCTCCAGGGGCCCCAAATTCGCTCCAGGGGCCCCAAAGGGCCCCAGTGGACCACTGGGGGCCCCAGTGGACCACTGGGGGCCCCGGTGGACCACTGCGGGCTTGTCGGGCTTTGGGTGGGGTTTAAGGGGGTCTTTAAAATCGGAATTTAAATTAAATTCGTCCTTTGGTGTTCATTTCGAATTGAATTCATCTTTCGGTGTTTATTTTGAAGTAAATTCATCTTTTGAATCTTAATTTGAGTTTAAGTGGATCTTCTATTTCTTAATTTGAGTTTTAACGGATCTTTCGATGTTTCACTTGAGGACTTTCTTTTGCTGCTTTTCTTCTTTTCTTTTTTTCTTTTCCGCACTCTCCAATCAGCTGAGGAGTTCATTAAATTAAATAATTAAATTAAACAATTAAATTAATTAAATCTAATTAACTAAATTAAATTAAATTAAATTAATTAATTTAATTAATTAATTTAAATAAATTAATTAGCTGCAGTTGGCTGTGTCGGACTTTGTGTTATTTGGCCCTACAACTCCGCCCCCAGCTGGCCAAAACTTCGCCAAAAAGTGCCAAAAGAGCGCCAGAAAGCCGCGAAAAAGGAATAAAAAAGAATAAAATAGAATAAAATAGAATAAAATAGAATAAAAGGGAAGAAAATAGAAGAAAAAGGAGCTAAAAAGGTTCAAATTTGGGTCGTTTTGGCGTTTTTCAGGGGGAGGAGGCGGACTTGTTTCTGCACGACGGGGCCCCGAACGTGGGCAGCAGCTGGGCAGGAGATGCTTTTGAACAAAACATTTTGGTTTTAAATGCTTTTAAATTGGCATGTTTGCATTTAAAAAAAGGAGGAACATTTGTGACAAAAGTGTTTCGTTCTGCGGACTATTTGCTGCTGCTCTTCGCGCTGCAGCAGCTCTTCGAGAGAGTTGCTGCAACGAAACCTGCAGCTTCTCGCGGCGCCTCTGCAGAGCTCTTTCTTGTTTGCTTCGGATTTAAAAAGCCGAAAGTCCTCGACAAGAGACTTTTCGATCCCAAGTTTGTCTTCATGGCAGTGGACCAGGCCCCGGACTCGGAGCAGCAGCAGCAGCAGCAGCAGCAGCAGCAGCGGCGGCGGGAGCAGGAGCGGGCGCCGGAGGCGTCGGAACGCGCGCGGGAGCTGCAGCAGCAGCAGCAGCAGCTGCTGCAGCTGCAGCAGCAGCAGCAGGAACGCGTGCGCCTCGGCGAGGCGCTGCGGCAGCAGCAGAAGCGCCACCGCGACGGCTACGATGCTGCTGCTGCTGCTGCTGCTGTCTTCAAAGAATTATCTCTCTTTAGCTTCTTCACTTCGAAAGATCCTGTTAGGGATCTCTTAAGTGCTTCCACTTTGTCTCCCAGACTCCCCCGGGACGCGCGAGCAGCAGCAGCAGCAACAGCAGCAGCAGCAGCAGCAATCCGCCAAGGAGAGAGCAGCAGCAGCAGCAGCAAGAACGACACCCCCGCTGCGGACACAGCCGCAGAAGCAGCAGAAGCAGCAAATGAAAACGAAGAAAAGGAAATAAGTGAAAAAGAAGAAAAGGAAATACATGCAAAAGAAGACAAGAGTGAAAAGGAAGCAGCAGCAGCAGCAGCAGCAGCAGCAAAAGGGGAAAAGCAGCAGCAAAACGAAAGTGAAACTGGCCTGAGTCCAGAAGCTTACACAGAATTGATTTTAAAAAATAAATTAACAACAAAAGAAATTAAAGAACTTTGGGAAGATTTAAAAGTCCTCAACAAAAAAGATCTCCGAACTTTGCTGCTGTGGCGCTGGAAGGTCAAAAGACAAATCGAAGCAACCCTCCGCAGCAGCAGCAGCAGCAGCAGCAGCAGCGGCAGCGGGGACGGCAGTGGGGAAGCGGTAGACGGTGTTGAGGGTAGAGAAACAGCAGCAGCAGCAGCAGCAGCAGCAGCAGCAGCTGAGGATGAGAATGAGCAGGCGGATGCGGTGAGGATTTATAATTATTTATTTTTAGTTTAATTTTAATTTAGTTTTAATTTAATTTAAATATAATTACTAGTTTTTATCTACTTTTTATTTTGTTCTTTAGAAACTAAACAGCATCTCCTTTCTTCACCCGGCTAGGGTTTAGGGTTTAGGGTTTAGGGTTTGGGGTTTCATTTCATCTCCAGGTGGATTTTGGAGCTGCTTGTGATTGCTGTTTTGCCTGTGCTGCTGGTGTGTCTGTGCTGCTGCTGCTGCTGTTGCTGCTGCTGCTGTTTTTAGGAGTTGCTGTCACTGCATGCATCGGTGTCTCGGAAGCTGCGGCGGCAGCAGCGGAAGCAGCAGCGGCAGCAGCAGCAGCAGCAGCAGAAGCAGCTGTTCTCCAGAAATGCCTATTCTGTGGGGGAAAGAGACTCTGAATTATTTCAGCTGAGTGGCGAAGCAGCAGCAGCACTAGCAGCAGAAGATTTGCTGCTGCAGCACCGCAGCAGGGAAGAAGACAGCAGCAGCAGCAGCAGCGACGACGACAGCGACAGCAGCAGCAGCAGCAGCAAGTACAAAACCTCCAACAAACATTTGCTGTCCGACTCCGACTCAGAACAAGAAAACCTGCACAGGCACGCGCCGCCGAGGGTTTAGGGTTTAGGGTTTAGGGTTTAGGCTTTAGCACCCCCAGCGGGATTGCCATTCCGGCTATTAACAGAAAAATAAATATAAAATTAAAAGTAAAAAATAAATTGATAAAGCAAATTAAACAAATGAATGAACAAATAAATTAATGACAATTAAATAAATAGGTGCAACAAATTAATTAAATAAATAAAATAATTTAATTAATTAATTAAATTGCTTTTCCCCTCAGGCTGGAGAAGGCAGTGGATTCTTCAATTGCGCTGCGGCAGCAGTTTTTGAGCAGCAGCAGCAGCAGCAGCAGCAGCAAAAAGAAGAAAGAGACGCGGCGGGCGAAAGTGATGAAGGAGAGAATAGAAGAGCTGCAGGCTCTTGACGAGAAGCTGCAGAAGGAAACAAGAGAACATTTTGCTGCGCAGCTGCAGCAGGACTCTGACTGTGACAGCAGCAGCAGCAGCAGCAGCAGCGACGAAAAGCCAGCACACAGAAGCAAAAAGGCAGCGCGCAAACGCAACGCCCACGAGTTCTTGGGTCAGACTTTAGGGTTTAGGGTTCAGGGTTTAGGGTTTAGGGTTTCGGAGATGCGGCGGGGAGAAAGTTATCAGCTACAGAGCCAGCAGCAGCAGCAGCAACAGCAGCAGCAGCAACAGCAGCAGCAGCAGCAGCACCAGCGTTTTGAGCGTGTGCGTGCAGACGATGAGCTTCCCGCTGCTGTTGTGAAGGCAGCAGCAGCAAAAGGAGGCGGGAGCAGTTCGCCAGCAGTAGCAGCAGCAGCAGAAGACGAAGGAGCAGCAGCAGCAGCAGCAGCAGGGTCGCGCGAAGCAGCAGCTGCTGCTCGTTTTTTCGAGCAGCCTTTATTCTCTTCAGCAGGAGAAGAATTAGCTGCGTCGCTGCTGACGGAGACGTTCGACCCCGTGCTGCAGCAGCAGCAGCAGCAGCAGCAGCAGCAGGAAGAGCAGCAAATTGAGGAGCTCGATGACGCGGAGCTGCCGCAAATGCCTTTATTGGAGAAGCAAAAAAGACAAATAAAAAGAAAAAAAGAAGAAGAAAAAAAAGCAAAAAGAAAACTACTTGCAGACCCAGAGGCAGCCCCAGCAGCAGCACAGAAGTACGCTTTCCCTTTCCCCCAGTTCCTTTCAATCTGCTGCTGCTGCTGCTGCAGCAGCAGCAGCAGCAACCCGCGCGCCTTTTCGTGTCCCGTTTTCTCGATCCCAAAGAATGAATTAGGACTAATTCCAATTACGAATTGAAATAAATAACAAAAGTAATAATTATAATTAGAAATGATTAAAATAAAGAATTAAAATGAATTAAAATGGAGCATTTTAATCTCCGTTTGTCTTCGCCAGAATCGAAGTGGCCCCCCCGCTGCTGCTGGGGCCCCCCGCAGCTGCCCATACACCTGAATTTGCTGCTGCAGCAGCTCTTTTGATTCGCCGCTCTTCCCGAATGGACTTAATCGACGGAGCTTACAATCGCTATGCCTTCAATGACCCCCAGCTCCCCTCCTGGTGCTGCTGCTGCTGCTGCTGCTGCTGCTGCTGCTGCTGCTGCTGCTGCTGCTGCTGCGCGGTTAGCACGAAATGAATGATCTTTTAGCGTTTTAATGAGTCATTTTGCGCAGGTTTGTAGAAGAGGAGGAGCAGCACAACAAGCCGCAGCTGCCAATGACGAAAGAAGCAGCAGCAGAATACAGAAGAAAGATGAAAGAAATAAACAGCCGGCCGATTCGAAAGGTGCGGATACAGCTGAGTGGGGTGTACGTACAGCTGCTGCGGTGTACGTACAGCTGCTGCGGTGTACGTACACCTCAGCAGGTGTCGTGGCGGGCGCACTTCGGGCTCGTTTTTTCCCATTTTTGGGTCGTTTTTGAATTTAAAAATGCATTTTGGATTTAATTTGTATTTTTAATGGTGAAAATGGAGTTAAAACGACGGAATTCGAGGCGGAAATGGGGGAGTTCGGGTGTGCGGCGGGCGGCGCAGGTGCAAGAGGCGAAGGCGCGGGCCCGCAAACGCTCCCAGAAGCTCCGCAAGAGACTCGAAAAAGAAATTAATTTAATTTCCGAAAGTAAAGAATTAAACGAAAAAGGAAAAGGAAAAGCTCTCGCCAGACTCGAAGCCAAGATCGCAAAAAGTCCGCAATCCCAACATCCAAAAAGCGCGTTTTTCTGCTCTCTTTTGTCATGTCTTATGCTGCTGCTGCTGCTGCTGCTGCTGACATTTAGGAACTTTTTTTCGATTTATTTTAGCATTAAAATAATTAATATAGGAGTAATAATAAAAAAGAACAAACTAAAATGAATTAAAATAAAGTGAATTAAATAGAAAAATTAAATAAAAAGAATTAAATAAGAGGCATTAAATTAAAAGTATTTCTTTTTGTCCCGCAGGCTCCAAGAAGGCCCCGAAGACCCTCATAGTGTCGCGGTCTGCTGGAGTTGCTGCTGCTGCTGCAGCAGCAGCAGCAGCAAAACGGCGCGGCAGCAGCAGCAGCAAACTGCGCAGCAGCAGGAGAAATAGAGATGTCAAGTTTGTGGACAAAAGACTCAAGAAAGACACAAGAGCAGCAAAAAGAAGAAAAGCAAAAAATCGAAAAAAATAAATTTCTTTTCTTTTGCAACTTTCAACTCTTTATTTTCCACTTTTGGCATTTTATTTTACTTTATTTTATTTTATTTTGTTTTATTTTATTTTTAATTTATTTTAATTTAGTTTTGCTTATTTACTTATTTGCTTTATTTCATTTTGTTTGCTTCATTATTTTATTTCTTTCTTTTATTTATTTTCATTTTTAATTTATTTTCCACTTTTCACATTTCCGTTTTTATCCGCCTTTAGGAAGATAGGGCAAAAGGGAATTAAAAGAATTTAAATTCAAATTAATTTAAAATTAAGTTTAAATTAAGTTTAGTTTGAATAAATTAAATTAAATTAAATTATATTTAATTTAATTAAATTAGATGACGCGGAGAGAAAGTTTGACTCCGCCGAGGTCTTCGCTGCTAGCTTTTGACTTTCTGGAACGCTGCAGCAGCAGCAGCAGCAGTAGCAGCAGCAGCAGCAGCGGTAGCAATGTTGCAGCAGCAGCAGCAGCAGCAGCAGCAAAGCAGCAGCAGCAGCAAAAGTGGCAGAGTTGGCCTTTTGTGCTGCTCTATCTGCTAGCAGAGTGCTGTAACTTCATTCAAGTGTACATACAACCCAGTGTGTGGGCGTCGTAGCTTTCAACAGCAGCAGCAGCTGCAGCAGCAGCAACAGCAGCAGCAGCAGCAGTGGGCCCCCGCAGTGTGGTGTTGGCTCTGCAAATTCGTCTCCAGGGCCGTTTTCGCTGAATTACAGTTAAGGTTTATTAAAAATAGTTTAAATTTCATTTTGTGGCTCGAGACTCTTTAAGTTTCAATAAGCTGCTGCTGCTGCAGGAGCAGCTGCTGCTGCTGCTGGCAGGGGCCCCCAGGTGTATAGGCAGCTCGGCACAGGCGGCGGCGGTGGTGCGTCCGCTCTTCGGGAGTTAGTTGAATGTTATTTATTTAAATTTTTAAAATAAAAGCAATAAATTAACTTCATTACAATTGCTGCAGCAGCAGCTGCTGCTTCAGGAAGCAAACAAGAGCAGCAGCGGCAGCTGCTGTTCCCGCTGCTGCTGCTGCTGCGTCCGCCGTTGCCTTTGTGTCTGCTGCCTTCTTTCTGTTTTTCCCTTTATTTCTCTTCTTTTAATTGTTAACTCATCAAACTCTGAAGGGAGAACTGCTGCCTAACCCCCTGCTGCTGCAGTCGCTGCTGCTGCTGCTGCTGCTGCTGC